TTGGCTGGGCTGGTCTTGAATGCCTGGTTCAAGTGATCCACCTGCCTTGGTCTCCCAAAGTGTTGGGATTACAGGTGTGAGCCACCATGCCTGGCTAGTTTTGTATTTTTAGTGGAGATGGGGTATCTCCATGTTGGTCAGGCTGGTCTCTGAATGCCTGGTTCAAGTGATCCACCTGCCTTGGTCTCCCAAAGTGTTGGGATTACAGGTCTCCAGGCTTCAAGTGATCTACCCATTTCGGCCTCCCAAAGTGTTGGGATTACAGGCGTGAGGTGGCCATCAAGCAGACCATCTGGAGGCAAACTCCTTAGCTGAGGAATTTAGATGTATAATGAAGAGAGCAAAGATCACCTGGAGGTCATCAAGCAGGCCATCCAGAAGCAAAACTCCTTATCTGAGGAATTTAGAAGCAATTAGACTTCCCTGTTATCTAAAGCCAGCATCTGGTTACCAGGTTGCTTTCCCAGAAATGTATAAGTAGCTAGAATTTCTATATATCTCCTGAATGCATGCATATCGAAACTCATTGTGCAGCCTTTGCGGACATCAAGGCACCAACATGTCTACAAATGTAATCATCTATCATGACCTGCAAAACTAATAGGGTCCAAATTACCCTTAAGTTCCTGCTTTAAGGTCTACAAATACCCCTAAGGAAAATCCACGGAGGCCCACTCAGTCCTGTCTTGCTGAAGCGCCCCACTACAACGTTCTTTCTGTCTAAGAAAACTTGACTTTTTAAGCCTGTGCTGTTGTCAGTAAATTCTCTTTACTACCTGCGTGCCAATCACTTTCTGTTGCTGGGGCTCTGCCACCTTGCCCAGCATTACCAAATTCATATTCTACTTTGGAAAGCTGGAAGTATTTTGTATACCGGCTTATGAATGATCCTTATCATTGAAGTCTGACCACTTTACAGAAAAAGTAGACCATCTTGTTTTCAAAATTCCAGCAATAAAGAATAATGTAGTGTTATTCACCTTAAATGAATTATGGTACATCCCTAAGGTGGCTATAAAATAGTCATTTAAATTTGTACTGATAAAATTTCTTATTTTTATTATTTATTTATTTATAGAGACAGGGTCTCACTCTTTTGCCCAGGCTGGAGTGTCATGATCACAGCTCACTCCAGCCTCAGCCTCCCAGGCTCAGGCTGTCCTCCCATCTCAGCCTCCTGAGTAGCTGGGACTACAGGCACACACTCCCATGCCTGGCTAATTTTTGTAATGTTTTTGTAGAGATGGGGTTTCACCATGTTGACCAGCTTGTCTCAATCTCCAGGCTTCAAGTGATCTACCCATTTCGGCCTCCCAAAGTGCTGGGATTACAGGCATGAACCACTGCACCTGGCTGTAAAATTTTTTAAAATATAAAAAGATACTTAAAGTGAAAATATGATGTTTTCTATCTTAGTCTGTTTCGCCTGCTATAACAAGATACCATTAACTGGGTAGCTTATAAACAAACAAACTTATTTCTCACAGTTATGAAGGCTGGGAAGTCCAAGATGAAGATGTCCACACATTTGGTGATGTTAGAGGCAGGAGGCGGACAAAGCCCTAGGCAAATAGGGAAGGGTCCCTGGAGAACCTCTGACCCCGCCCACAAGTGTTTACACCAGATGTTTTGTACAGATAAGGGAACTTGCACAGGGAGTTTGCCTAGGCATGCCCACAGCAGGCTGGAGACCCATGCACTCCACCCATGAATGGGGTGGAGCCACCAGGAATTTGTGTCTTATGCAGGGGAGGAGCCTGGCCTCTTCAGCTGGTGTGTGGTAGCCCAGGTATTCAATCTGGGATGTGAAAACCTGCTTGCAGGACCCCCTCTCTTTGCTGAGAGCTTCCTTTTTGCTTAAAAATTCCACCCTTCTCACTCTTCAATGTGTCCGTGTGCCTAATTCTTCCTGATCGTGAGACAAGAACCCAGATTAGCTGAGTTAAGGAGCAAAAAATTCTGCATCAGTGAGGGCCCCCTTTCTGGTTCATAAATGTCATCCTTTAGCTGTGTCCTCACAGGGTGGAAGAGTGGAATGAGCTCCTTTGGGCCCATTATTTATTTATTTATTTATTTATTTATTTTTGAGACAGTGTCTCTCTCTCTCTCTGTCACTCAGGTGGAGTGCAATGGCCTGTTCTGAGCTCACCGCAACTTCTGCCTCCCAGATTCAAGCAATTCTCCTCAGCCTCCTAGGTAGCTGGGATTACAGCCATGCACCACCATGCCTGGCTAATTTTTGTATTTTTAGTAGAGACAGGGTTTCCCCATATTGGCTGGGCTGGTCTTGAATGCCTGGTTCAAGTGATCCACCTGCCTTGGTCTCCCAAAGTGTTGGGATTACAGGTGTGAGCCACCACGCCTGGCCCCTTGGGCCTATTTTATAAAGGCACTACCAATCCCATTCATCAGGGCTCTGCCCTCATAACCCTATCACCCCGCAAAAGTCCCCACCTCTAAATATCTTCACCTTGGGGGTTAGGATTTTAACATATGAATTTGCGGGGTCAGGGCGAACATAAATATTTTGGCATTCTGGAAGATTGTGACTTTGGAAAACCGTAAAAGACATGTATATAAAAGCAAGATGGGAGGAAAATGCAGTTAAGTTATCAACAACACTTACCTGTAGGTTTTAGGTTTGGGTAGCTAGGTATTCACCAGGCAGATAAGAGTGCTAACAAATGCTTAGAGATATGAAAATTTATCACATATTTTGGAGTCAGCAAGGAAGCTATTTATCTGTAGATATCAGTGCAACACAATCCAGGAGGCTGTGTGTATCAGCAATTGACCTTGCTTGACCTGATAGATCTTTTATTCCTCTACCTTGGTATGTGTTTATTTAAATCCACTTATTAAGGCTTATAAAGCAGTTTTTTTGGTTAAAAATCTAGGACTGAATAAACAGATTTTGCTAGCCTATACTCTTGCAGATATTGTTACCAGAATTTGTTACTGCTTACCACAGTATAAGCCATTACTTGAGAATGCCTGTTTGCAAGACCAGTTTTCCACTATCATTATTAATTGGCTTGAACAACTGTACAGTAATACATTTTTTTCATAAAGTACTAATGCATTTCTATTTTTCTTCCTCTCAAGATGAAAGAAAATTTTGTCATGGAGTCCCTACCATCTGTACCATCAACTGAAGGAAACAGTCAACAATGCAGATTTGATGACCTGGAAAATCTTAATTCATTAGCAAAAAGTAGTCTGGATTTAGGTTTGTGGCTTTTGTTTCTCATAAACACAAATTACATTATTCTGCAAGCTTTCAGTTTTATGTTTGTATACATGAATTTTACATGTATTTTTATTCATTATGATGTTTTGAGTTTACATCTGCTTATTAATTAATCTGCTTCAGAATACCTGAAAGAATAAACAAGCCTCAGATTTCAACTTAGAATTTTCAGATTCTCTTTTCTGAGAGGGCTACATTTTCTCTGCCTCATGTTGCATTTTACTAGCAGTGTGGATTGAAACTCAGACTAGAACCTTACGCCAAATCTGAAATAAGTTTCTACTAATATGTATTAAAATCTCTGATGCTCTTAAGTAATATTGCTAGCTCATTTAATGGGACTGTTAAATATTAATAAAGAGAGGCATATTTTAAACATTTATGAAACATTTTTATAGCCATATATTACAGTCAATTTTAGTACATTAATAACTTAGTTTCCATTAAAGAATTCTAAAAGTATAGTGCCTCGCCCTGCTGCCCCTCAATATCGATTCTTATATATGTTTGAAAACTTGACTTTAAAAAAGAATTTTTCTTCATCTAACACTAAAATATCGAATGTCATTATAAAATTGACATCCCTAGGGAGATTGTTAAATGCTTTCATAGCACTGGGATTTATAGAGCCATTGTTGAGGATTTATGCTGTCCTTCACTTGTTATGACCACTTATAAGTCTTTCTCTGTGTTGTATAGTAATATGTTGTAAGGGTAGAGAGGGCTATAGAAAGTGATGTAACAGTTTTATACGAGATTAGGATTCTATTAAGTAAATTCTAAAAAATTGAATACTTAAGGGTAAAAATTGCAGGCATCTCTGAGATGATAACATACAGTTTCCTGTGGGTCAAAACAGAGCACGGAAAAAAAAAAGAAGACAGAGTATGAATACTTAATTTTAAATATCTAAGATTAGATGAATCTATCCAAGTTTTCGAGATCATGACTAGGAGAAAAATGGGACTTACCAGAATAAAACTCTCCAGGTATATTGCTTTCTAAAATTTACCACATTTCTTGCAGTTCTCTATTAAATAGTTGGAGAAGATTTATAGCACATATATTTCAGTAAATGAATAAATAGAACATATCTGTTTCATTACTATTAATACTAAAGCAAACTTAGCACCATTTTGGACCAGATGAGTCTTTCGGTGAGGGTGGGGTACCCTGTGCATTGTAGGATGCTTAGCAGCGTCCCTGTCCTCTAACCCTAGATGCCAGTGGCACACCCTCTCCCAGTCATGATGAAAATGAAAATGTCTCCAGATGTTGCCAAATGTATACTGTATAAACCACTGGTTTATACTGTCAAGATCAAAAGAAATAGACTAGCTATGTGGGCTGGTGTTGGGTGGAGGAGCAGTAGAATAAGAGGCAATCTTAGATTTATCTACAGAACAATGAATTTAGAAATAATTGTTGAGAACCTCTGCGTAAAGGGATATTCTTGACCTTTTGGTTAATCCAAAATTATATATCTTTAAAAAGCATATACGCTTCATGGGTTATGAAACTAAATATTTAAATTTGGATAATTAATAATGTCATTATTGACATTATTGCATTGAGTAATATACTTAGTGTTACAAGATTTTGGAAGATTTCAGACAGAAGATAGTTCTGTTTCCCAGTCTTTGACTGCTCAAAGACTGGGTTATGCCATTTGCAAGTCCAAGGTGATTCTGTGTTATTGTCAAGACTCAGTGCACATGCTTACTTGCAGGCCTGTCTCTTACTACACACTGAGCTTCAGGGGAATAAGGACTGTATCTGATTATGTTCACATAGTAGGTGCTCGAGAAATATTTGTTGAATGAGAAAATGATGTACTGCTCACGTGGTTATTCAACAGCATATCAGCTCACTCCTTTTTTTTTTTTTTTTTTCCAGTTGCTAAGTTGTATAGTAACCCGATCTCTACTTTGGATTCTCCTTGCCTTTATTTTGTTATTCCATTCTTGCGTCTCATGAAATGTAGACCTTTAGAAAATTTCCACCATTCCTCTCCTATAGGCATTAACTTCTGATATGGTTTGGCTCTGTGTCCCCACCCAAATCTCATGTTGAATTGTTATTCGCAACATTGGGGAAGGGACTTGGTGGGAGGTGATAGTATCATGAGGGCAGATTTCCCCCATCTGTTCTCATGATAGTGAGTTAATTTTCAAGAGATCTGATGGTTTAAAAGTGTGTGGCACTTCCTCCTTTGCGCATGCTCTCTCTCTCCTACTGCCATGTGAAGACATGCTTCCCCTTCACCCCTCTGCTATGATTGTAAGTTTCCTGAGGCCTTCCTAGCCATGCCTTCTGTACAGCCTCTGGAACTGTGAGTCGATTAAACATGTTTTCTTTATAAATTACCCAGTCTCTGGTAGTTCTTTTTGGCAGATGGCAGTGTGAGAATGGATTAATACAATTTAAATCCTAGAGCATTTATTTTTTTAAAATGTCCCTGTTTTTCTAACCTCTGTACCCCTGTTATGACGATTACCTGACAACTACAGAGGCCCTACAGGACTCAGTCTTTTTCATGGGCTCCTGGGTTTCTTTGTGCACTTGGTGGACAGCTCTGTAAAGTGTAACTGTGTGAAGTGCTGTGACAAGTGAGAAATGTGTGCCTGTGTACCAACAGGGTACATGGAGGAGGCGGTGGGGCAGAGGGCACAGGTAGCCTTTGTGTGGAGCAATTCATGAAGTTTTAAACTGCACCAGTCTATGCAACTTAGTGGTATAGTTTAATAGACTGCTTTTTCCAGTGTAGCTGGATGGGACATAGCTCTGTAAATAGAACCAGTTTTCTGTTCTGAAAACCCTGGTTTTAGGCCATTCCTGCCTGAGCACCAGTCCTGTCCTGGTCCTTCCTCCTCAATGGGGGAGAGGCAGACATCAGCAAAGCTGGAACAGTGGGGCAGTGCTTTGATTGTTGTGTGGGAATGGACGCCCTAGTGGATGGGAGCAAAGGGGAGTATGGAGATTGGGGAAAGGTAACTGAGACTTCCTTTAATCCCACCAAGCATGACAGTATTTTCACCCCATATCTACAACATTGCCAACTGATTGGACCCTGATTCCAAAGTTTCTAGATGAAATGAAAAGCAGAAGTGGTAGTGAGTTTACTAGAAAATTTGTTCAAGATGAATGCATGGAAAGAGTTTCGGTGATGATTATAGGAAAAGTTTTAGGCTAGGTGTGGTGGCTCATACCTATAATTCTAGCACTTTGTGAGGCCAAGGCAGGAGGATCACTTGAGCCCAGGAGTTCTAGACCAGCCTGGGCAACATAGGGAGACCCCATCTCTATTGAAAAAAAAAAAAAAAAAGTTTTAAAAGAGTATCTGTATTGCTTAGTCAGAGGTCATTTGTGATTTTCTACTAAGGCAGGTACCCCAAATATACTATGAACTTATGGAATTATTTTTGTTTGTTTGTTTGTTTGAGATGGAGTCGTCTCTGTCACCCGTGCTGGAGTGCAGTGGTGCAATCTCGGTGCACCGCAACCTCCACCTCCCAGGTTCAAGTGATTCTCCTGCCTCAGCCTCCTGAGTAGCTGGGATTTCAGGCATGTGCTACCACACCCAGCTAATTTTTTTGTATTTTCAGTAGAGATGGGGTTTCACCATGTTGGCCAGACTGGTCTTGAACACCTGACCTCGTGATCTGCCCACGTCGGCCTCCCAAAGTGTTGGGATTACAGGCGTGAGCCACCACACCCGGCTGAACTTACGGGCTTAAGGAAGACATTTGATGCACAATTCATCATATTCTTGTAAACATGATAAAAACAATGGGCTGATAAATTATAATGAATTACTGGGGTATATCCTATGAGTGATTAATGGGTTTATGCCTGCATAGGTACAGGTCTCTAATATAGGCCATAGGACTCTATGCACAGGTTGCCTTTGTTATTCTTTTTCTCAGGAAATGGGGTATTGGCACAGATGGCATGTTGGATGAATTCACACATTCCAGGAAATTGGGAAGGATTGTCAGTATGTTGGATGACAGAGCTAAGATCCAAAGTGACCTTGACGATCTAGAATGAAGGCCTCCATCAAATAAGATAAACTATTTAAAAAGAAGAAGAAAAGTTTGAAGCTGTGCTGTTTGGACCCAAAACCTAACTGCCCACTTCTAAGATGGGAGAGACGTTGTTTGTAATTTGGTTTTTCTATCATTGCAGAGTTCTCCAGTACAGTGAGAAGAACAAATAAGGCTCACAGGACTTAGGGTTTCAGAATTTTCTTTTTTTTTTTTTTTTGGAGCCCAACTACTTCTGGGTCCCATTCTTTTGCTTGGTATATTGCTAAGCAACAGTGCTTTTTGTAGTGGCAAATCAAAACATTGGTAAAATTCCATCTCTTTCATCAAGCCTCCTCCTCATGCTATTCCTCCTACCTAGAATGGTATTGCAGATTTTTATGGGACTGATTCCCTATCACTATCCAGGTTTTTGACTACTCCATCTATTTTTTTTTCTTTTTCTTTTTATACAGAGTCTCACTCTGTCATCCAGGCTGGAGTGCAGTGGCATGATCTTGGCACACTGCAACCTCCACCTCCTGGGTTCAAGTTATTCTTCTGCCTCAGCCTCCCAAGTAGCTGGGATTACAGGCGCACGCCACCACACCTGGCTAATTTGTATTTTTAGTAGAGATGGGGTTTCATCATGCTGGCCAGGCTGGTCTCAAACTCTTGACCTCAAGTGATCCACCTGACTCAGCCTCCCAAAGTGCTGGGATTACAGGTGTGATCCCAGCACACCTGACGAGCTACTCACCTGTTTCTTTCTGTTCCTACCTGTTGCTTTATTTTCCTTCTTAGAACTTACCATGAGCTAAAATTGTGCTGTGTTCTTTCTGTATCTCTCTCCACTAGAATGTTAGCTCCCAGGAATAGGAACTTTGTCAGTTTTGTACATTTAGCTATCTCTAATGCCTAGAATAGTTCCTGGCAAGTAGCGGGTGCTTTATAAACATTTGTTAAGTGAATTTGTGAATGCGTGATTGAAGAACAGCCACAGAATGTTGGATACACTTAAAGGTATTTTTGTAGCTTCAGTTTCTTACCCCATTAGCCAAAGAAGTAAAATACTTAAGGTTTTGTGTCTTCTCACATTTATTTGATGGGAAACAAAACAAAATATAGAAGGTGCATTAGAACTTTTTTTCTTTGTTACATTTTCTAGGTTAAGCTCTACCAGATATTTTTAAATCCATAGAAGGTATGCAAACCAAAAAACAGATGTCCACAATCTTGATAAGAGCATACACTTGATTTCTTACCATTTGAATAAAAGCTATGTTATTATTACTCAACCCAGTACAATAGTATTTTATCATCTTACACGGGTTTGAGCTTTCAGTCATACTTTAATCACATAATGTGTGATATTTTAAAATATTTTTTCTTCCAAGAACACAGTGTTCAAAGAAATACATTGCCGGAAAAACTGTTTTGGCCAGCACGGTGGCTCATGCTTGTAATCCCAACACTTTGGGAGGCCAAGGCAGGTGGATCACTTGAAGTCAGGAGTTCAAGACCAGTCTGGCCAACATGACGAAACCCTGTCTCTACTAAAACTACAAAAATTAGCCGGGCATGGTGGCACACACCTGTAATCTCAGCTACTCAGGTGGCTGAGGCAGGAGAATCACTTGAACCTGGGAGGCGGAGGTTGCAATGAGCCGAGATTGCACCACTGCACTCCAGCCTGGGCGACCAAGCGAGACCTTGTCTTGAAAATAAAATAAAATAAAATAAAATAAAATAAAATAAAATAAAATAAAATAAAATAAAATAAAGTAAAATAAAATAAAATAAAATCTATCTACAACGTACTGTGCCATGCATTGGAAAACCTAAGGCACTATTTGTTGTTCTCTATTTTCTAGAATTACAGACAGAGAAAAGCATCATGTTTGGAAGAGTTTAGCATACACAGCTCAGTGCAGAGGGAAGAATACATAAGGCAGGCAGCGGAGACATTCAGAAGAGTCCAGCTGTGGGGACCTTGTGTGCCGGGGAGGACCTTGAATTTGACCTGTCTGCTCAGAAGCCTTATGCTGGGGCCTATGGGGGCAGCTTCACAGGATCCATGAACCACAGTTAAAACATTTTTTTTTTTTTTTTGAAATAGAGTCTTGCTTTGTCGCTCAGGCTGGAAGTGCAGTGGCATGATCTTGGCTCAGTGCAACCTCCGCCTCCCAGGTTCAAGAGATTCTCATGCCTCAGCCACCTGAGTAGCTGAGATTACAGGTGTGTGCCACCACACCCGGCTGCTTTTTGTATTTTTAGTAGAGACAGGGTTTTGTCATGTTGGCCAGACTGGTCTTGAACTCCTGACCTCAAGCGATCCACCTGCCTTGGCCTCCCAGTGTTGGGATTACAGGCGTGAGCCACCGTGCTGGCCAAAACAGTTTTTCATGCAATGTATTTCTTTGAACACTATGTTCTTGGAAGAAAAAACATTTTAAAATATCACACATTATGTGATTAAAATATGACTTAAAGCTCAAACAAGGTCTCACTTGGTTGCCCAGGCTGGAGTGCAGTGGTGCAATCTTGGCTCACTGCAACCTCCGCCTCTTGGGTTCAAGCGATTCTCCTGCCTCAGCCTCCCGAGTAGCTGGGATTACAGGTGTGTGCCACCACGCCTGGCTAATTTTGGTATTTTTAGTAGAGACGAGGTTTCGCCATGTTGTCCAGGCTGGTCTTGAACTCCTGACCTCAGGTGATCCACCCACCTCGGCCTCCCAAAGTGCTGGGATTACAGGTGTGAGCTACCGCACCCAGCCCGATCTTTAGGCCCTCCATTTACCTTGTCTGATTAAGCACAATTATTTTAGGCTCCCCATTTATATCATTTGAATAAATGGCATTCCCAAATCACTGAGGGTGTTTAATCAGAAGTCTCAAAGCTCCTTTACGAGATGATCAAAGATATACTTGTTCTGTAGAATGGGCCGTGGGATGTACAATAGATGGGACTTCCATTCTAATCATAACATGAGCTGTAGATTTCTTTGTTTTTCTACTTTGGAAAACAGTATACTCATTATTTTTTAAACTTAAAAACTCATTGTTGGCTTATTAAGCAAGTACTGTATTTACGTGTTGAGAAATATTTGCTAGGTGCTTTCTGTATAGGAGTGCTGCTCTGGGTCATGAGAGTGGAGCCGTGAGCAAAATAAAGTCGGCCCTCGTGGAGCCCACGTTCTGGTGGGGGTAGACAATAACAAATTAATGTATAATATTATAGGGTTCATGAAGGAAAATAAAGCAGTAAAAAGAAATAGGGACTGTTTGAGGAGGAGGCCTATTTTATATGGAGTGGTCCGGCTGTTTTAGTAACAGTTGACTGACACGTGAGTAAAGTAAGCCAGCCCTGTGTGAAAACATTTGGGATATGGCTGAGAGAACAAAAAATGCAAAGTTTTGAGGAGGTTATATGCTTGGTGACAAAAAACAATTAAGTGTGTTCTGGAGGATAAATAAGATAATGCAGATAAACAAAAAGTAGAAATAAAAAATTGTCTGTGGAGGTAATCGCAATTTGGTTTATAATCTTCCAAATTTTTCCAGTTTGTGTGAAACACTACCTGTCTACCCTCATAACTGTGTCATCTCAGCTTTCTCCCTCAACCTCAGATCTTCTGGGTTTCTTTTTCCTTTTGTTTTTGTTTTTGAAACAAGGTCTCACTCTGTTGCCCAGGCTAGAGTACAGTGGCGACATTGTTCCTCGCTGTGATCATCCTCTCGGACTCTAGTGATCCTCCTGCCTCAGCCTCTCGAGTAGCTGAGATTACAGGCATGCTCCACCAAGCCTGGCTCCTGGAGTTGCGCATGTTGCCCAAGCTGGTCTTGAATTCTTGGGCTCAAGGAGTCCACCTGCCTCTGTCTCCCAGAATGCTGAGTTTATAGGCATGAGCACCTGCACCTGGCCAATATTCTGTTTTTAAATAATAAACCATTATAACACAGCTTAACTTCCTCTCCATAGATAACCATGGTGTTGAATCCTATATATTATACCTTATGCATTATCTTTTTATAGTGTGTGTGTGAGGATGTGTATAGACAATATATGTGGACATACCCACACACACATCTATATATGATAGTTATACTGTGCCTAGTATATATACATGTATCAACATTTGATCTATTGTGGTGAGACTAAAGGAGCTTTCTTTATTTGGGCAAATGTAAGGAGAAGATACTAGCTTTTAATTTCTTAAATTAACATGATAATTATATAATATGCTACCAACAACTAGGGAAGAACATAAGAAATAAAGTCCAAAAATCCCCACCATACTTCTCAAGCTTATTATGTGAACCTTTCTAAGTAGAAATCAAAATTAATTGTTAGGAAGTTTGTTGTAAACATTTAAATAAATTATGGCAATCTGTACCCTTTACCTACTGGTAAAAAATTGGCAAATTTTCTTAACCTCAGTTTTCCTGTCTATAAAATATGGTTGATAGTGTCTTTTTTTTCTAACTCATAGTTGGTTGTGAGAATTAAATGAACAAGTATAGGCCAGGCGTGGTGGCTCATGCCTGTAATCTCAGCACTTTGGGAGGCTGAGGTGGGCGGATCACCTGAGGTCAGGAGTTCAAGACTAGCCTGGCCAACGTGATGAAACCCTGTCTCTACTAAAAATACAAACATTATTGTATTTTTGCATGCAACACCACACCTATAGTCCCAGCTATGCAGGAGGCTGGGGCAGGGAGAATTGCATGAATCCAGACGCGGAGGTTGCAGTGAGCCAAGATTGCGCCACTGCACTCCAGCCTGGGCAATAGAGCGAGACTCCATCTCTAAAGAGAAAACTAGTGTAGAAGAATTCTGAAATGTATAAACAAAGCCCTTTTAAAAATAGAAGTGATTTTATTTGGTTTGTTATCCTGTGGAATTTTTTTTTTTTTTTAAATCAGTGAAATGTCAGAGTTCTTATTGGGAAAGCTTAGGTTGATAAGAGAAAATCTATAGTAAGATTAGATTTTTTAGTAATATTAATATTGCATAAATGTCATTTTTTCAGTGAGGCCACTGAAAATTGTAACTTCTTCTGTTGAACAATTCCTATATTCCTTCCTTCTTTATTTTTCACCATTGTGCTTATCATCATAGGATATATTAAAGCCTTTATTTATTTACTTTAATATTTTCAGTCTCCTACCTGGAAGAGTCCCCTCCCATAGTAGGTGCCCATACCTAGTTGCTGAATGACTGAAGGAGAATGAATGCCTTTTGTGTTCACTGTTATCTGGATTTGCTCTTCAGGCATGATCCTGGATGATGCCCAAGGTCCTAGCTTGCTCATTGACCTTCCTGGTGTGGCTCAAAGTAGGGAGCAAGAAGATTTGCCTTTATATCAACACCAAGCGACGCGAGTTATTTCCAAGGCCTCAGCATACACAGGAATGTTGTCTTCTAGATATGCCACTGATACATGGTATGATATCATTTCTCTTTGTTTTCACATTATAAAATAGTGGTTTTTCTTGTTTTTTTTGTTGTTGTTGTTGTTGTTTTTTGCTTAAAACAATGCACGATTTTGGTAGAACATTTGGAAAATACAGAAAAATATTATGAATAAAATCCACTATATTTGAAAATCACTGTGAAAATTTCATATACTTAAAATTTTGCCATATGTACAATTTTGTATCTTGCAGTTGTGCACAAAATGGATTACATAGAGTATTTGCTTAGAGAATGGGAGGTTAATTCAGAGTTTATTTTAACAACTTAAGCAAATGCACTTGAGGACAAATTAAAAGAAGACCAATTTAAGAGTGAGGAAATCTACGGGAATCCCTTGACTCATTACATGTTGAGTGTAAGAAGGGGTAGTTGAGGATGACTTGTGTTTTTGGACTAGAAAACTAGATATGGGAAATTAGTGCTTCAATATAATATTATAGGAACATGAATGGGTTGGAAGGGAAAATGATGAGTTCAGCTTGGAACATGTTGAGGGTTAAAGTAGCCATAGAACAACAAAGCTAAATGGAATCAATTAGATATGTGGGTCTGGGAATTAATGTTGAGGTCTGTCTGGACATGGGTAATTGAGAGCAAGATTAAGCGCAGGTGAAACTCTTGGATTTGAATGGTCATCAACACGAAGCTTAAACAATAAGGCAAGCATGGGGTCAAGATTGGAGTCTGGGAAGATAGCAATACTTAAGGCATGAACAGAGGAAGAAAGGGGTGAGCTGGAATGAACAAAAGGTAGGAGAAAATTAGTCAACTAGACAGTGACTTAGAAAGCAAAGGAAGAGAATATTGTAACAAAAGGGTCTTCACAAACTATGTTCACATGTTAGTAAGGTCAATGTAGGTAAGACAGAGAAGTTTTCCTGGGGCTTGGCCATATGGATGCCGTTGGTAAGCATTGAGCATTGTTAGTAAAGTGAATTCAGAGAGTAGTGTGTTGAGAATTGAACACAAGGTTAAAAATTGGACACAGAAAGAGCTGACTAGTGTTTTGAAAATCCTGGTCATGGGTTGGGCTTGGTGGCTCATGCCTGTAATCCCAGCACTTTGGGAGGCCAAGGTGGGTGGATCACCTGAGGTCAGGAGTTCGAGACTAGCCTGGCCAACATGGAAACCTTGTCTCTACTAAAAATACAAAAATTAGCTGGGCATGGTAGTGTGTGCGTGTAACCCCAACTACTCTGGTGGCTGAGGCAGGAGAATCACTTGAACCTGGGAGGTGGAGGTTGCAGTGAGCTGAGATTGTGCCATTGCTCTCCAGTCTGGGCGACAGAGCAAGATCCCATCTCAAAAAAAAAAAATTAGCCTATTGTGATAGCATGCACCTGTAGTCCCAGCTACTAGGGAGGCTGAGGTGGGAGAATCATTTAAGGCTGGAAGGTTGAGGCGGGCGGCAGTGAGCTATAATTGTGCCACTGCACTCCAGCCTGGGTGACATAGCGAGATCCTGTCTCAAAAAAAAAAAAAAAAAAAAGAATGCATGTTACTTAGATAACTAGACAGTATTAATGGATCAAGGCAAAGGGGAAAAAATATATATATAATATATATAAGACATACGACATTTATATTATATATTACTACATTCATATTACATGAAACTGAAGAGAATTTTCTTTGCTTATGGAATATGCAGATGCCATAAAGGGGGTGATTAAATATAGTCTGTGGAGATGGTAGAGGGAGAAGAGGACATTGCACACTTGGAATCACCTTGGATAGTTTGATAGGAGGAAGCTCACCTGGTCCACTGAGATAGGTGCCAGGAAGGAAAAGAAGGTCTGGTTGTAGGTACTTTTTATAGCTTGGGAGCAGGAATCCAAAGAGATTCTCATCCAATGATGATGTTTGTTTGTTTCTCTCACTTAGGGAGAAGATTATTTACTACTAAGAGTGATGAGGTGCTAATAAAGTGGGCATTAAAAGGAGAGGTGTTGGAGCAGAGATTAGCTTTTGAAAGAGTGATAGGGGAGTAACCACCTAGTGGTAGGGAGTTTTGAAAAATGTTTACCCTCTTTTTCCAACGCCCCCGGGAGTGAGAGAATGAGCTTCACCCACTTGAGTGTGGTATACTTGGCAGAGAACCAGAGCTGTTGAAGAGGAGGTTCAGAGAACGTTCAGTGAAGAGGTCAGGGCATGGATAGTTTGTTTACAATTCTAGCAGATTCCGTGCAGCGTGATGGATGATGTACATGGCAGGTCTTGGGGTGCGGCGTGACAAAGGAAGCACATTTGAAGGAAAACCTAGAAAGGTGTGGCATTGTGAATAGGGAGATAAGAAGTGCACAAAGGAGCTGGAGCTTTCGGCAAAGCGTAACAGGGATGAGAGATAGGGTGAGCTTAATTGGCTTTAAATGTTTTTATTAAAACCTTAATCCAACTGTGATTTTTGTGTTGACATGGGAGGTATCTTACATTTAGATGATGTGCATCTCTCTGTTCAGCAACCTGAAATTTTACCCAAAGTTTTAGGTAGAAACTTCATAAAAGTTATTCTCTGTGCTTCTGCATAGCCCATATCTGAGTGGAAGGAAGTGATACAGAAAGGCCAACAGCTTTTGTACTCTGCAAATGCCAGGTCGGTGTGCAGAGGGAGAGTGCTGCCGGGTCTGGTTTCCTAATGTGATATCCGGTGCAGCCTCTGGAGGAACACTCAGTGATAAATAAGCAATGGATTTGTTTCCTTAGGACAGATGCCTGGAAGTGGAAAAGTTAGAAACATATTTTATGGCTTTTTATATAGTCAAAATTTTTTTCTTCTTTTTATTTTTGAGACAGGGTCTTACTCTGTTGCCCAGGCTGGAGTGTAGTGGCGCCATCTCAGCTCACTGCAACCTCTGCTTCCCAGGTTCACACCATCCTCCCACCTCAGCCTCCTGAGTAGCTGGGACTACAGGCATGTGCCACCAAGCATGGCTAATGTTTGTACTTTTTTTTTTTTTTTGTAGAGATGGTGTTTCGTCATGTTGGCCAGGCCGGTTTGAAACTCCTGGGCTTAAGCAATCTGCCTGCCTTGACCTCCCAAATTGTTCAGATTATTTTTCCATGAGACACCATTGTTTTTTAAATTTCTCTTTTGCTTAGTGTGAATAGTTGAGTCTGGCAGAAGAATGCAGAAGTGAGACTGCTTTTCTAAACTGTAGAACTGTAACTGTAGAATGTGAAGAATCAGAAAAGATCTAAACAAACTTCTAAGTCCACCCCTCCTTCCGTGGACAGAAGAGGAAGTGGAGCATCAGTTGTTCTTACTAAATTTGACCCCAGCTTCAGAGAGGGAAGATATGCTTTGTCCTTATCCCATTGCTTTTTCTTTTAAAGTGAGTATTTGACAAGCCGATTTCTTATGCAGGCATGGGCATTGAAGGACTCCAACCTAACCTTGTCTTAGGAGATTAGTCTTGCACTTGAAAGTTGTTTTTTAAGCTTGTTATTGGAGATTTAGGGTATATTTAAATCCCAGCAGGTTCCAGAAGAGTTCCTATAAATCATATTCCTTTTTTTAATCTTTAAGGTATGCCCCATGGAGTTAGGTTCATAGGTGAATATTTATTGCCACTTAGGAGCCTGCCTGAGTAATGCATAGATTATTTTAGATGATAGTCTTTCAGATAATCAGGGTGTCATGAAGTGCTAAATGGTATTTTGCAGTTCCTTCCTTGCATTAATTTTTGTGTACGACCCAGCAGAGTTGTGTGTCTATATGCCTGCACATGCATCCATGTGCGTGAGTGCCCCAAGGGTAAGTATCAAATGGTTGTGATGTTTTATCTACACTGCACTTTTGCACTAACTTCTCCTTACCTTAGGAGGCAGGACTGGTATTAAGAGTTCAGGTGCCCCTTGAAAGTAGAGATCTCTAGAAAGGGGACTGTGGGCAAGTAGGGTATAATTCTGTGGAAGGAATTCAGGTGCTCTGGTTCAGAGCACAGTAGTCCCTTCTTATCCTCAAGAGATATGTTCCAAGACCCCCACTGGGTGCCTGAAACCACAGACATTACCAAGCCCTATATATGCTGTCTTTTTTGTACATGCATACCTATGATAAAGTTTAATTTATAAATTACATACAGTAAGAGATTAACAACAATAACTAGTAATCAAATAGATCAGTACTGCAGCAGTTGATCTGATAACAGATGGCTACTGAGTGACTTCTGGGCAGGCAGCATATATAGTGTATGGATATGCTGGACAAAGAGATGATTCACATCCCAGGCTGGACAGCAAGATACTTCCTCATGCTACTCTGAATGGCATGCAGTTTAAAACCTATGAATTGTTTATTTCTGAAATTTTCCATTTAAGATTTTTGCCATTACTGTAGTTGATCACAGATAATTGATACCAAGGAAAGCGAAACTACAGAAAGCAAAACCTCAGCTGAGTGGAGGGGACTACTGTATCCTTCTTTGTTCCTAAGGTCACTTGAGATCGTGTTTTCAGACCTCGCCTGGTTTCAGTCTTTTTCTTCCTCATCTCTGTTATTTTGGGCTGTTTAAAGACCTATGGGTGCCCCTAGTGGGGACGTGGGTATTTCTCAGACAATAGGAGGTCTGTGGTATGGATATATTATGAGTGCTGTTCATATCTTTCTTCTGCTGTTTATACCTGTGTGACCCTGAAAGGGTTTCCTTTGTGTCTATCTTTTCTCACCTGTAAAGTAGGTAGTTCTGTAGACTGAGTAAGTATTAATACAGGCCAGTCATGGTGGCTCACGCCTGTAATCCCAGCACTTCGTGTGGCCGAGGTGGGGGAATCGCTTGAGGCCAGGAGTTCAAGACGAGCCTGGGCAACATAGTGAGAACCTGCCGCTACAAAAAAATAAAATACAAGCATGGTATGTGGGTGCATGCCTGTAGTTCTAACTATTCTGGGGGCTTGGATGGGAGGATCTCTTGAGCCCAGCAGTTCGAGGTTACAGCAAACTATGATTACACTGCTGTACTCCAGCCT